AAGAGATTTGACACGTACCCCATCAATTTGCATGTCTTCTACCTCTGAATGTGAATTCACGCTACTTGCCGACATAGTTGGGGTGTAGCGAATCATATGTTGTCTTGAACATTGGTCTTGGCAGCATTGGAATAGGCGATTATCACACTTCATAGCTTGGCTAATAGCTTCATTGAGCGTTTGCAGATCATGAAGAGTTAACAACAAATCCTTCACATTGTCCCTTAAAGCCCAATAGAATTGACTCATCAATGCTTCTTCATCCCAATTGATGTCGCATGCTAATTACCTGAAGTCTGATGCATAGACTGATGTAGAGCGCATCCCTTGTCGTAGTGACCGGATCTTTGTTGTAGCCCATCGAACCTTGTCGTGTTCACCAAATGCTTCCGCAAACGCCTCCAAAAAGATTTCAAAGTTATTTAGTATGGACGATCGTTTCTCAAATAAAGGAGCAAACCATGATAGAGCTTGTCTTGTAAGTAAAGTTCCAACAAGCCCAACACGTGACTCCTCCGTTGGATAGCATTCGGGCTGTAAAACTGTTATCAACTTGATCTAGTTGACGAATCCTCGAAACTTGGAATGCATACCATCGAACTTGTCCGGAAGGCTAACTCGGGGCTCCTTATGTTGTAGAACCAGCGGTGCTTGTCGAACCTTAGGCAAAGTTGCTTCTCCAAGTGCAGAAGTTTGAGGCCGGTGCAACCTAGAATGTGCCATTCCAGATGCTCCATCATTATGAAGCCTTGCCACGACTCCTTCAATCTTTGCAGTTCTTTGCGATAATGTAGCGAGGACATTCATGATAGTATCCAACTTGGACTCCGAACTTTCCGTCATACTAATGTCTTGGCCTCCGGCCATTCTAAGAGAAGGATAGAAATGACTGTACAAAAAGACAATATTGGTTTAGAGGAGGGTACTCCGCAACCTCTAAAATGCCTTAAGAGCTTCAAGAAAAGAGGTAATCCACTCTCTCCAAGAAGAATAAGACTCCAATATTGTAACAATAGAAGTATCAGTTTAGAGGAGGGTAATCCGCAACCTCTAAAATGTTACTACACTTCCAAGCAGAGGGGTAATCCACACTCTAACAAGGAAGAAACTAGCTCTGATATTTGAGGTGAGTGAAGTCTCAACAAACTGTCACGGACAGAGAAATATAGACTCGAGATCTAACAAGAAGTTCAAGAAGAACTGGCAAGAACTAGATTAATTAGATGAATATTAGAACAACACCAGAGAGATGAGATAGAGCTCCAAGAGATGTGTTGTCGAGATTGAAGAACTCTTCAGCCTCGATTCCAATATATACTCCTATTTAGGAAGCTTCTCAAGCAACTTCTACCAACTAGGAAGCTTCTAGAAGGTTCTAGAGACTTGTTTCTAGAAGGTTCTAGAAACTTGTCTCTAGAAGGTCCTAAGGACTATGTCCCTAACATCTTCTACCAACTAAGAAGCTTCTCAAGCAATTTCCATCAACTATGAAGCTTCTAGAAGGTTCTAGAAACTTGTCTCTAGAAAGTTCTAAGGACTATGTCCCTAACAGTTGATTATATATTGGAAAATTTTAAATAGATCCAAGTTTTTACTAAATCAATCCACCCATCTTAACCATTATAAAAGAGAAAAAATGAATTTTAGGTTCATCTCTCCATTGTTGAATCTACAATCAATGAAAATCAATCACATTCATCATGATTACTATATTCTTTCAAGGGTAGATTGATTTAGTAAAAGCATGGATCTAATTAATATATATATATATATATATATATATATGTATGGTTTTAACAACATATTATTTTAACATGAAAAATATAATAAATAACTTAATTTTTTGATAGGATTATTTTATGATATTAATTCATATTAAAAAATATTTAAGATAAATTTTAATATCATTTCAAAGGTATGAATAAAAAAACATGGATCATTTGTAACTTAGTTTTTAGATTACATGTTATGTAAAAATAAACACAATATTATAATAGATAAGACTTTTAAAAACTAATTTATTATATAAACAAAAATATAAATAGGGAGTTGTCAAAGCCACATCCCAATTTTTGTTAACACCTCACCTCCCTCTCTATCTTGTGATTCATTCACTCTATCCCATGTTCCTATGTCCTTGTCCCTTGCCAACCCCTTTCCTATTTCTTATTCCTAAATCCCTATATGTATCTACAACCTTGTCCCTATTTGATAATTTATATATTTCTAAATATTAAATAACAATGATAATATCATAGTATAGAATTAAATAACTTTAATTTACATAATGTTCTGAAATAATTGAAGTAATGAGGGCTTAATACATTTACATATAATACTTGCTACAATCTAAAGGCTAGAGCAAGTTTTAAGTAAATAAATAAATAATTGACTAATTAGCAATTGATATTGCTAAACATATTGAATATTAGTGTTGTAACAGCCATAAGAACATTGAATACAAAAATGGTGTTGGATGGAACAATAGTTCTTATATAAAAATAAAAATAAATTTTTTTACTCTTTTTATTTTTTTAAATATTTTTTTAATATATGATTTGAAGTTCTTGAACTAAAATATATAATCACAAAATTACAAGAAACTTAATTACGATGTTAGTAAAACAATTATTGAATGAAGAATAAACATTTATGAAATGATTTTGGTAATTCATTAAATTCAAGGAACACATATTAAAAAATAAGCTCAATAATATATAAAGTCTTGAAAGATAATTATAATATTTTTCTAAGGATAAAAATATAATATAAATACACATGTAAATTAAAAATAATAAAAAATATTACTTATAAAAAAATAGAATAAAAATAAAATAAAATTCTCTTGGTTTTTAAGAAAAAATATTTAACTTATTTAGTTATTATTCAAATGAAAAACATGAAAGAAAGAAAAAAAAGAAAAATAAATAAATAAATAAATAAATAAAATTTGATGACATATTCTTATAAAAATATTGATTTATGCAAGAATGAGATCTTAATTTTGATTCGCCATTGTGGAAGTTTGCACTAAAATAATTAACCAAAAAACATGTCTACACAACAAAGTGTTTTTAATTTAAATTTATTATTTGATTGACTGATTTATAATTTTTTTTCATGTGACCAATTCTAAATAAATAACATAATTTTTATAATTTATTAAGCTTAAATTGGTTTTACCTTCAACTTGTAAAAATAGGATAAAAAATAAAATTATAAGAAAAAAATAAAAAATAAAAAATCTTACAAACAATGTTTTTTTACAAATACAAGCTTATTACTACAATTCAAATTGAGTTTTCACCTAAGAGACATGGGATTCTAGATGGGAGGATGGAGGAGTAGAGGTTGAAAACAATAGAACAGGAGATGGAAGACTTGGAATAAGGAAATGGGGATAGGAGATTGGAGACATGGAATAGAGTGAACGAATCATACTTCTATATATATATATATATATATATATAGAGGTAGGTACTTCTCTTTTATAACATAGATGCCTTCCAATGTTACACGTCCTTGCATTAATATCCTTGAAAAAACTAAATATTTTTTATCTTAAATAAGGTCTCTTATTCTTAATTATTTGACATTAATGAATAATAAAATAATAATAAATAGCGTATTTATTATTCAAAAAAATAATTTAACAAAGATTTGTAAGAAAAAAAGAATTAAGCATTGAGATAATATGGAGCCACAAAATACAAATGGATAAGGATATATCAAATTTTGATACTTAAGTAATTAATATAATAAGAATTATTAGTTAATAATTATGATTTAAAACCAAAAGTAGTTATTTGTTTTGCAGAGGTATGTATGCACAAGAACATAGCATAAGGGATATCTACCTAATAATTTCTTATATATAAAAATTATTATTTGTTTACTTATATTTTTGTTGACTTATTATAATAAAGATAAATTATTAGAAAAAATTAGAAACTATTAATATTTTTTGGTATGTATAAATATTCATGTAAAATATAATATCTTATAATTCATTCTTTTTATATATATATAATTACATTGAAAACATAATGCTTAAGTTTTTTTGTTTATTTTTTTGCTTTTTAGAAGTTGCATCAATTCTTAGTAGTTTTAGATTGCATGTTAGGTCTAATATTTACAGCTTGCATGTATAAATACAATGGACACATTTTTGTTTGATACGCCTTGAAAGTTCTACCACAACACTTAATCATTAGTGTTTTGTCTTAATTATTTATAAATTTAACTATTTTCTAATTCATTTGTCTTTTAAAAAAACTAATTTAATATTTAATATTTTACATATGTTTTAAAAAATAAATTAAAATAATATCACATGATGCAAAATAATTATTTATGTAATAGATAAAATCATGTAATAAAAATAAAACAAAATAAATAAAAGTAAAAATAAAATATCATATTTTAATATTTTTTCTTTGTCTCTTTTTATATATATATATATATATATATATATATATATATTCAAATATACATCATAATAGTCAAATTATCTAATTTTATTTTATTTGGATAATAGTCAAATCTTACTAAACTTGTTAAAGACCCTTTCAAATTTGAATATATTGTATTTGTAACTTACTATTTATGACAAAAACCCTGTAAGATGAAACTTAAATTTTGATTTACAATCTGCAAACTACAATTCATGATTTGGATATAAATTTAAAGTCATCAATTCATTTATATATATATATATATATATATATATATACATATTTTGTTTAGAGTTGCAAATTATTATTATAGAAGTCATATTTATCTTTAAAAATGTGACTGCAAAAATTATTATTTGCAACCCTTAACTTTCTGCAGTCACATTTGAAAGCAAAATTGAAAAATCCTACTAGTTCCAGTACAAAAATATAATACGTACTCATAGACTTTTATCACACTCGTCCCATTCAACTTCTTCAGGTGACTATGCTCCTTATTCCTTGTTTAAATTCACATGAATTCTCTTGATCTTCTGACACTACCCATGCAGAAAGTGGACTTTGTGAGTCGTATGCTATAAAACAGGCAGTTCAGGAACAAAAATAGCTACATATATTACTTTTCGTTACCTAATAGACAAAGACAATATTTGTCTTCGAAGTACGTCTGTACAGCTTCTGAGGAGCATGTGCTTAAATAATTTTTTCAGTACTACTAGGTCAGAGAATTTGGACGCCGACTTGTACTGCATGTAACTCCTAGGCTTGTATATAACACATGGAAGAATCGGAAGGGATGAAGATCATGCATAACTTTGCATCGGTGAAGGTTACAGCACATGACCTTCACTACTACCGACAGATTCTAGAACAGAAGAAGATGGTGATTGGAGAGGCGTGAATGGAGAATCGGTCCCCAAAATATCAGTAATGATGTGGGCAACATGCACGAGAATCTCTTGTTGGATACTGTAGTAGATTGCACTTCTCTGCGTGAAAACACCCAAGCAATAGCGGCTCAGTCATCCGAACTAGAATTGGACAAGAAAAGGACCATGCTAACAGAGAGCTTCAGCGAAGGGCCTTGAACAAGGACATCATGATGCTGCGACTTACTGTGGCTTTAATTACACAGGAAAGGGCTATCTCAGGGCCGTCATCTTCCATGTTCTTCAAATAGCAGAAGGGACTAGTGTTGGCGTTGTCAACGCTTGGATGTGAAGCCAAGTATTCCGTAACCGTCTTTGTTATATTGTTCACCATGAAGATGTGTCTGTTATCCAGTTGAAAGGTTGCCTCAAGCACCCTGGTCTTTGCCCTTGAAAAGTTAGTGATGACCTGCATGAAAGAATACGCACCAAATAGAGAACACACTAAGAGCAAAATAAAAATCAATTAATGCAGGAACAAGACAATATTATTATTCACATGAATGAGTGTGTAGACTAGTTCTATACACTTCGACAATTGATTGCTGTTCAATCGCCAGAATGTCTTACGTGGATCTCATCCAACTGATATGTTGAATGTATCAGAAGGAATTATGGATTGCAAAAAGTCGTAAGATAGATAATTGAAAGTACAATACTAACCTGACTGGTAAAAGATTGATTAGGAACAAGAATAGGGACGCCGTCGAAACCCTGCACCTTGGTTTGCATGAATCCAATATCCTGCACACGTCCTGAAATATCCCCTGCCTACACCCACAACCCCATCCATTCCATCAACAATGACTGTTTTAATTGTTTGAGGACAACACTACAAATAATTTTTTCCTAAATTTAGAGGTGATAAAAATCATAAATCATGGGAATTGATATTTTCACCCAAATTTTTACTATTTTTACCCTACATTGTGTTGCATCCATCACACCATTGTTGTTGTTGTTGTGGTTTTGTGACCTGGCCAAAAGCAATTTTGTTTTGATCAATGCCCCAATAGGGCATATGTCTTCTCTACAACTCACTCGGTAGAGGTTTCTAGAGTGCACAAATTCTTCTTTCAAAATGCCTAAAATAAAGTTGCTGTTAAAATGCAACAGGACACAAAACCACAACAACAACTGTGTGGTGGGTGCAACACTATGCTGGGAAGGAACAGTAGAACTTTGGATGGAAATATCAATTCCCTAAATCATTCACTCAGGACTTCACATTTTCAGCAAGACTAAGGCGTGTGAATAGCAACCTTAATGTTTTCACCGATATCAAATGGCCGGGTAAGGAAGAGAGATGCGCCACCGAACATGTTCCCCACAACCTGTTGGGCTGCTAAACCCACTGCTAAACCTGAAAACCGCACACAGGTGATATATCAAGTCAAGCGGTCTATCATGGTGAATCATTTCTCTCACTATACTCATGAACTAAACATCAGAAGTCCTCAGCTGATGAAATGTTAAGTGAATAAAGTTTGCATGTTTTACGACAGTGGCAACCGGCAAATATAATTCATGTAGGATAGACAAGAGATTCACGTGAACTACATACCAGAGACTCCACCAACTGCAAGGAGTGAGCCGAGTGCCAAGCCCAAGACCTCAGCAACGCATGACACTGCTAGGCCATACAGAAGCAGCGACGCTATTTTGTCAAGAGCGAATACTTGGCTCTACACAACGTGACAAACGCATCAGGTTCAGGATTACGAATTAGACGAATTACGTTGATATAATAGACATTACGTCGACAGTAGCGGTAGCATGAGACAAACACTGCAGAATATAGACTTAGATGAAAAGACATTGAGGAGGTGTACTTCATCTTGTGGTTTTCTTTTCAGGAGGTCTTCAACGTACAGACGTTTCCAACGGAAAAAAAACCAAGTGATTGTAATGACGAAAGACGATGCCCGGACGTCGTATACTAAATCCGCTGTGATTAATGCTTCCAACTTAAACACTACAGATAATACCCACAACCTGTTCCATATCCACAATTGCAACACCATGAGAATACTTAATCTCTACACTATTTGGAAAAGTATGGTAAGTAATGGATTCCCTCATATCCTACTTCTCTATCAGGTGCACAAAAAGTCTTCAACTAGCAGGACGAGAATGCTCTTACAATTTCGTGCTGGCCCATAGCATAATAATGTAACGAAGAGGTCTTCGAGCAGCTCGAAATGGTGATAATGCATAATCGACTTCGCCAAAATCAGTGACATCAAACGCCTGCTCCTTACCCTGAATTTTAATCCGTTCCGCTCTCACGTACGCTCTTTGATGTTCCCACCCCCAGAGTGTCACAGGATCAAAATGTCAAATTGCCTCTTAAAATCGAACGTACAGTCCGTTTGGATGAAATGTACAAGGGACAGGAGTTATGCATTGAGTGGAAAACAAAGTTTAAGTAAATCAGTGACTTACCTATACAACCACTTGCAGAATCGATTTACCTGTCGATACAAGATGTAAAAGAAAACAAACACTAGTGCTTCGCGAAGTAATAAGGTTGCCTGTTGCCAAAAGGTCCGCCAATTCCAGGTCAGAACATGGACTAGTGCACAATGCCTGAGAAGACCATTCATTAAAAATGCCCAACAAGTCGATTGACGGTTCGATTTTCGATAAAAATTTGAACGCTTTTACAAACCAGCCCATCTTCATCTTCCACGGTAAAATGAAACTCCCATTGAAAAAGAAATGGTCAATTTGATAAGCACTTACAAGGGCTTCATTTTTGTGAAGGTTGGATTGAATGTTGAGCGGAAGGAAAGCTAGGGGGTCCCAGTCGAGCGGTAGATGGTTGGAAATCAGATTATAAGTTCGGCGAATGATGTAAGTACTCAAGTCATCTAAGAGGTGATCCCCTACTTGACAGGTTTTCTCTATTATCGTATAATCTGATTTCCAACCAGCTCGAGCAATCCCTGAGAGACTATTCGCTTGCCTTTTAGTGTAAGGTTTTGTTTGCCACAATAGCTTGTTTAAGCTTGTACCTTCAAAGCTGGGAACAGACTGCAAGAACAATTGCATAAGCATCCCCAACTTAATAAAGCTGATAAACAGATTTACCCCGGATTACAGTGTCACAGGTCAAATAACAGAGTTGGAAAATCGGTGAAGGTTGAGTGTGCAACATATTACTGGAAAATTACTCAAAATAATGCTTCCATTTGGAAGCTTGGTTGGATAACTTACTCTACATTGTACCAAGATCATCAAAGAAATATTGGAGCTCGGGGTCTTTATCGAGCCATTGGTTTGTAGGGCTCTACCCCAATCGGCCGATAGGGCAGTCGAAGCTTGAAGCAGGGCCGCCATCGCCAATGTTCACTTTACCCAATCAAGCAGCAACTGGGTTCGACCTTGTCATTACTACGCTACAGTCGCAACTAAGGGATCGCTCATGGCAGTATCGAAGTTCCAAATAGAAAAAGTATACATTCTGAACAACTTGCTCAAATCTCATTTACTCTGAGTACGAGTTGGGGCTCAATCTATGCTACATAATTTTGTAAATCGTTGGATAAAACAGCGGTGGCTCCTTGTTTCTGCGGGTGGCTTGATTTAAATTCAAATGTAAACAGTAGGTGCAGCGAGGACAAGGTCACTCGGTCGACTTGTAGATGCAAAGGCTTAATCAGTCGCTGCGCGCGACGACTGGCTGGGCAACCTCGGCTCCGCTAAGCACCCTGTTTCAAATCAAACAATAGCTCACTCATTCTCTAAACAAGCCCTGCACTGGTTCCGAGAATCAATCTTCCACTACATACATAAGTACAATAAACCACACATTGAACTACGAAGCATCCATTACGTTATGTTCAACTCCCCAAATGTTACGACGAACAATTGAAACAAGAGTCTCATAAACACACAACAGCTTAAGCAAGCTGCACTTGGCTAAACAACCGTCAGGTGCGCAGGGCTGCCCTACGATCAGAAGGGGAGCATTGTTCTCCACTGTTCGTACAGCGATGATTTGTGTTCAAGAAGGGACAACTGCATGCCAGAGCATCTCAGTGCCTTCGACGCCACCAAATCGTGCTCGAGGTGAAGCCTTGAAGCCATATCATTTCGTAATCGACGTCGTATTTCGCATGCGAAGTACTTTCATGGAGGACGCAACTATGCTAATTACGCACCCCCAAGAATCACGTGGACGGGTGGGGGTGGGCGGGGCAATGTTGCTCAGAGAGACGAAAAGGCTGAAACATCTGTGGAGTTTGACAATTGAAAGCTGGCAACAGAGTACCGATAAACCGGAGGTACAACATCAGATCATCACATGATGGGCTCAATAAATAACTCTACACTACCTTTTCTCGAGTATTTTCGACAAGTTAAACAAAACCTGCAAGATTCTTATCATGTAACATCTTCCATTTATCTTCCAAAACTATCTTCCAGCATCATGATCCGACCAAGATCTCTCATTCGCTCTCGTTCACACATCATGTCGCTTTTGAAAAGTGGTGATGATTTGAGTCAAACATCTCAGTGATAGGCCGGCAGTAAGATTCGTTTTCAGGAATCTTTGCAATGAGTTGGGACCAGCTGGATCCGATTTGGTCCAAGCATACTATATGTTGCATTACAATGATCTGCTCGTGTGATTCGGAATTAATTCGAACATTTTATGTTGCACCAAAGCTTTTAAGTTAGATTTGTTTTACCCAAAATTTTCTGTGAGATACGAACTGGTAGAGTCGCACGGCATCTTAGACAACGCCCATCCATATTCCTATTGCTGGATCAGGTGCTCCATGCGGATAGATTGTATTACCACATATTGCCGAAGTTTGCATCATCATTGACTTGAAGGGTGTGGCTGAGCTTGAAGGCTGGACATAATATCCTGGGTGGAAGTATGAAAATCTAAGGTTGCCCTAGACGATATGTTTTTTTTGACTCGAGCGCAAATATCTTTCTTCAGCCTAGCAAGCACATCGCAAGCAAAGAAAGCAGGTAACGTTGCTATATTACGCGATATTTTCCACACAAATGGAAAATCGAATTGCATTAGGATATGCTAACACTTGATAAGCTGGTTTTTCCCTGAACAATAATGTGGCACAGCCTTAGATCAGATCGTTCCGTTTCGATGCTTGATTCTGTAGTCGACAGTATTCTGAGACCTGCAGAATCTCTAAACTTGACCTACGTATGCACGGCAGCCAGAGTAAACAGTCGGAAAGCAAACTACCTTTGAAAAATCAATCACAGATTGACGAATGATGTTGGTGGACTCCCAGTAACAACCATGCAAGTTGTGCTATACAGAAATATACCATGAGGTCCCCCTTCGAAGCATTCAATCTTATTGAACATTTCGTATCGAAAATACATACGAAGGGCTGCAGTCGACGTTCTCAAAAGATCTTCTCCACAATGAAATCTTTTAATGCAAGAAGGGCAAATTAGCACCACAATCTTGTGGTTCAGAGTGCACCTTTTAAGGTCACCTAGGTACCTCAACTTGAAGTTGGCAAGGCAAAATCGTTGTCTAACGCAATGAATATACAGGACATAAGAATTGCTTGGCACTTACAAACATATGCCAAAGAGAAGCCCCATGTGTCCTATGTCCAGAGATGATATGTTACAAGTATAAAACATTCTGTGCTTCAGCTCAAGTTGAATTGTGTGGAGACGACAACTCCAACCACAGAGCCAAGAAGCAAACCTGGCATCAACGGTCCTCCAGCACGATACATGGGACCTATCAAGGGTAATTTTCTAGCAGACAAATCTGCAATTAGAACAGCAAGACTTCCTAAAGGTACATACAGGGCAAGGCGGTGGCGCGCAGTTGTCAACCCCATATCCCTGAACAAGACAGTAGCAAACATCCGAAATTCGTCTACATCCAACACCTTTTGCCCGCCTCTGAGCAAGCGCTCTTTCTTGATTGTAGCATCCACTTCAAGTTGGCTTGGTGGGTTAGGAAGCCATCGCTCTTTGTATCGAGACACCTTATCATCTTCATCAATAACTATCTTGTCGTAAATGCGAATTGAAGCATCGAGAAGTTGATATACTTGAAGGCCAGGATACGAATGCTGTGAAAGAATCATGCATTCCTCGAAACTCGCACAAATAGCTGCCTGAAACGCCGAGGATGTCAATAGAGTACCTTCTATCTTCTTCGATGGAGATTGCCCCATGCCAATGTGCAAGCGTGTGACTTTCCTGTTGACTATCTGGATCCAACTGGGATATCGCCCAAGTTATGAAAGCAGCACTGCGATCCTGAGTACTGCCAAGTTAACGGAGTCTGCAAAGGACATGCGTGAAAGGGTAAGTCAGCAGTTGTATCAAAACGTAGCGCGACAAAACAGAATCTTATCATAGAGAACACAAAAATTGCAACGATGATGCATTCCATCCGTCGTCCCAAGTTAGGTGCTCTTGATTAAGCTGAAGGTTTACACAATTAGCGTTGGGTAAGCCTGTATATGAACATTACATATAACACGAATGATTGTAAATAACAAAAGGAACTTCAAGCAAGAAGTCGACACTAAACCAATGAAAGAAAAATCTCGACGTTACTCACCACATTGGTATTATTTTCATAAAATAACTCATCTACGTTAGTATGCCCCAAAAAACACGAATCTCGTAATTCACAACCCCAGTAACTGGAAGACACCAGTTCCACAACCAATTTCTGATTCCCGTCAATTCCGAGAAGAAGTATTAGCGATAGCTGACCTACCAGAATCATTCACCAGAAAAGACGACTAGTACATCACATCACCCCAACTGCCAGCGAACTTATGCGACTAAGAATGCTAGACACACAGATGTATATTTATTTTCATAAATTTAAATACAAAATCCACGCAACTGAATCTCCAAACACGCACTTCAAATTATGCTAAACGTACTAAACTACATAAATTAACCATCCATTAAACATACATATATGCATCACAGCTGAAAACCCTAAGCAAACACGCACAATTCTCGCAAAAACAGAAATTGCAAAAATGCAGTTCCTAATACGTTAACAGGATTCTGCACCTGAAAAAAACACTCCCCACAATCTCCAAATCACCGAAACAGAAAACAAAGCAAGCAGAAGAACGAATTCACATGCATGAAACCTGTAAGTGAAATTTTGCACCCAAATTGGAGCACAGGTACTGTGCGACGGATAATCGAAGTACCCAATTAGCAGGAGGCGGGAACGGATGCAGGGAACGGGAATCAGTAGCAATCTGCACAAACTTTGGTGAGAAATTCTGCGAGGGTATGCACACTCTTGTGAGAGTAGAGGACTGGAACGAAGCAAGAGCGCAACCTTCGCTGCAAAGCGTGTACAGGACCCAAGTTGAGTCAGTTTTCCTTACCGTGTGACCCTCACCTTCTACAGTGGAGTTTCGGACTCATTCACACTGGCTCCAGTGCCCTCTTAAACCCCCAAACACAACCAAACGGACGAAGTTCTGAACTTCACTCCTATTGAGAATGTTTAGAAAGACATAAGAGTAGTAGTAAGTAATACACACAAGAGAGTTTCTAAGGAAAGAGAGAGTTTCATACAAAATCTATTGATCTGGTTGTGTTTCATTTACAAAAATAGAAGGGAAGAAAATAAATAGTTTCTCTCCACTACATTCCAAATATTGTAGCTATAGTATTTACTATAGACTATAGTAAATATCATGGAGAGTGCCGGCTACATTTAATGCTCTCAACACTCCTCTTCCCTCATCATAATATTTACATAATATAAAATTTGTATAGAATTATGATTTATATTTTTATGTAATCTTGTATGATCAATAATTGTTGCCTCATTAAAACCTTATCTAGGAAAACCTTATTGTATTCAAGGGCAAAACCATAGATGAAGGAAAAAGAGTACAACATCATTTTTCCTAATTATTTAAAGAGTTCATTAACTTTTTTATTCAAGAAAAGTAAGTCACTGTCACGAATTTAGAATATTGATTGAAAATCTAAACAAGAAGCTCAAGAAGAATCGACAAGAATTAGATTAGTCAGATGAGTACAAGAACAATACTAGAGAGATAAGCTAGAGCTCCAAGAGTTGTGCTGTCGAGACTGAGGATCTCCTCAGTCTCGGCTCCTATATATACTACAAGCTAGAAAGCTTCTCAAGTAGCTTCCACAAATTAGGAAGTTTCTTAAGTAGCTTCTACGAGTTAAGAAGCTTCTCGAGCAGCTTCCACAAGCTAGGAAGCTTTTCAAGCAGCTTCCACAAGCTTAAAAACTTCTCAAGTAGCTTCTACAAACTACAAAGCTTCTGTAAAACCTTCTAGAATCTTTTACAACTTCCTAGTATATGTCCTTGACATCACCCCTCCTTCCTTTAGTTTCGAGGTCTCCGAGAAGTACTCTTATTACAAGTTAGTGCCAATGTAAGAAGTTAAAAATTTGTCGCATAGTGTTTGCAATATACTCCAATTGTTGTTTGCGTTCCAAGTAGTTCATTGGTTCTTGTAACCAACAATAGTGTCCTATGCCTTTGATTTCCGACCAAGCATGAACTTCCGTGTATTCATTGTGAAAATACCCTGCAAACAGTCCTTCGGGAAGATCACCATAGGTAGGTTCTACCTCAAACACAATCACTAGCAACTTTTTACTAGGTATCCTCCGTTGTTTTTATGGTATAGGCAGTTCTTCATCTTGGGGTCGTCTTTGTGAGATACTTGATTGAGAAGATATGACTGATATGGGATCTATCTCTTCGCTATCCATATCAGACCGAAAAAACAACCACTAAACATAGAAGAATGGGCTCAGGTTACAGATTTATAGTCTCTAACTATGTCTTTTAGAGGTTCCTTCTCCCTCTTCTTTGTAAGGCCAAGGATTAAGAGGTTTCAAGGAAAAGGGACTTCACTAAAAAACTTTCATAAAAAAGGCTTAGGTTTCTGAGGATAGCGTCAATGAAACTCATGTACTTTTTGCAATGCATTGATAAGATTTTTTGCTGATTTTCATGTGCGCTCATTGATATCATAGCCACTCTAATGCACTAGGTATTCGAATTTCTCCTACTTACGCCACGAATCTAGTACCTTTTCTACCTTGTATTCCTTGTGGTTCTCAATTTCAATACTAGGTGGCAGACATTGCATTCTTTAAGGAAAAGACAACTCTTGACAAGGCTCCAATAAAGAAACATGAAAGATTGGGTGTACTTTCATGGCAGCCCGTAATCCCAGATGGTACGCCATTGGATTGATTTGCTTCTGGATGACAAATGGTTCCAATCTCCGGTAGTCCAACTTATCACATGGTTGCTTGGTTTTGATATTTTGTCGAAGTAGCCATACTTTATCTCCAATTTTGAAAGTAGGTGCATGATTCCGAAATTTATCTACGGATGCCTTGTAAGCTTCTTGGGTGGTTTGAAATTGAAGCTTCAATGTAGTTTGAAGCTCCAATAGTTGTTTCTTAAATCCTTCAGCTACTGGGTTGTTATTGGTTGATGGACTCAACAAATCAAGCTTTGGATGATATCCATAGTTAGAAAAGAATGATATTTGTTGAGTCGACGCATGAAGGGTGTTGTTATATGTAAACTCGGCTAACAATAGATATGCAGTCCAATCATCTTGCTGATAATTGATGCTGCATCTTAAATACTGCTCCAAAGTTTGATTCACCGATTCCGTTTGGCCATCAGTTTGAAGATGAAAAGCAGAAGAAAGCTTGATATCCACCTTCAATATCTCAAAGAGAGATATCTAAAAGTTTAATACGAATTGGGTTCCTCGATCCGATATGATATCATCTAATAAACCATGATATTGATACACACTATCAAAAAAGAGCCTTGCTCTGTCTTTGCTTGACAATGTTTTTTTGTAAGGGACAAAGTGTGTCATCTTTGTAAGTCGATCTACCTCAAAAAAGATGTTATCAAATGAAATTTGATGGTGACATGTCCTTAATGAAGTCCATGGAAACTGAAGACTATGGCCAACATGAAATAGGCAATGGCTAAAGAAGACCATCAAGACGATGTCGTATTATAACACGAGTATACTGTGAAAATATAAAGAAAGAGGACTTTTATTAATGTTCAGTTACCTCGAATATTGGGAGCAACAACCAATTCCAGTGCAAATACTGAGAGGCTAGGTTGAGTCACCCTGTTACAATCAGCCGGGGCATACTGAAATGCTCCATTCGATTCCAATAACGGGAGTCAGCAAGAAAGAAAAGGACCAATTCACACGACGGGTGAACCTGGTTCGAAGAGCCAATTGGATCCAATTTCAAGAATCCAATCCGGGTCCTCTTACCCAATATGAGACCTGAATTGGTCGGGTAACCCAATGTAGTCTAATTATGGGAAAATCCAGGTCTTACGACGGGCCTCAGCCAATCTGACGTGAAGGACCAATTTGATCCAATTTCGGGAACATCCGGGTCTTACTACTGGACTCTTAGCTAATATGAGACCTGAATTGGTTGGGCGACTCAATGTGGTCCCGATTACAGGGTTTCGATTCCGTTTCAGGTTGTTCCGTCCTTTGTGCTGTTCCGGGGACGTCCTTTCGGTAAAAAGATCTCTCAAAGGTAAAAATGGAGGAGAAAGCTCTAACGACGGAGTCAATTTTGGATCCAAGACGGAAGGAGCCAATTCCGGATCCAAGACGGAAGATTGAAGAAATTCAGAGGTTAGGGTTTGAAAGAGGGGAGAATTAGGGTTAAAGGGGAGGAAGGTTAAGAAATGTGAGGGGGTTTTTTCAGATCAAGGTTTTTGGATCAAAGAGCTAGCTTCAAGCTCTTTTCAAGGTCACTAGTTTGGTTTCATTAGGGTTTGTGAGGGGAGAGCAATCGCTGCTCAAAGTCAGTGTTTATTTTGGTGTTTCGGATTTTATATAAAACATTGATGGTTTGCATTCTCAATCGGTTTTGTGCAAGTCGTGTAGCATCTACCGGTCAAAATTTGGTATTGTCTGGATAGTTGGATGTGCTAAGTGTATACAAAAATTTGTATTAATCTAACGATGCAATTAAGAGATATCTGGGTTTTAGTACAAAGGGTTGTCGGAAGTTGGCAGTCTAGGGTTGGATAGGGTTTCTGTGATATCTGAAGATCTACTAATTGGATCGACGTAATTTTTGGCTTGGTAATAGAAGATTTGGAGATCAAGCAGCTATTCAATTTTGAGCTGGAGTAAACAGTTGACAAAGGAGAAATCACTTCTGGAGTTTCTACATCAAATTTCAAGGTTGCAGCCGAGTGTCATCAGTGCGGTTTTTGGGCGTTTTCTTGCAATCTGTAAGTTGGGTTGGGCTGAAATTTTTTGAGCATATAGAAGGCTTATACTGGTATTTGGGTGCAAAATTTCACACTAAGTGGACAGTTGGATCAAAAGTTACAGCTTGTCAAAGCTCACTGGCTAGGATTAGGGCTTGTTAAGAAAAACAAAAACAACTTAATTATAAAAGAAATAAAGCAATTGGAATATTGTATGGTTAAAATGACTATGAGGAGTGTTTTTAAATACATGGAAATTGATATTTCAATTATATTCTTCATACATGGATAAAATCTATTAGGGTTTCTTTGTTATTTGTAAAAACAACTATACCTTCCACAGCCAGATACCCAGTGTATTCCCGAACAAGATAACACGTAATACGACATAAGTGGTGAACCCGACATGAACGTTTGGGGTAGAAGGTGTTGGATTTTGTATGTAGTTATTTGGATTGATGGTGCAAGATGACAAGGTTGATTTTAGAGTTTTTGGAAGACTTGGAGCTTTGGAGGATATTTTGAAAAGCAATGGTGATATTTGGATTATTATGGAGTATATTATGGCTTTATAGACATCTTGGGGCATTTTGAGGTATCATAAGTTATTTATTGGAGCATTTCAAGGGATATTTTTTTAACATTGTAGAAGAAAATGGAAGATATTTCAATGAAGTCTTTGGATAGGTTAAATACTTTGGATGGACCAAATGTTAAAGAGTTTTTTGAAGCTTTTTGTATATTTATGGAAAAACAACAAAAGATACAAGGAATTGAAAGGGATATCACAAAGGCATTACAAGGAGTTTTCAACAAATTTGGGAGGTTTAACAGATGCAACATCACTAAGTTTTTACAAGTTTATACATGTGAGATGGAGACATGCCAAATCCCTGAGGCAAAGATGATTTCAAGGTTTTATTTGGCTATTGAACCTAGGATTCATAAAAAGGTGAAGAGATTACTTGAAAGGGGTGTGGAGACATGGTCAAAATTTCAAGAACTTTTGAAGAAAGAATTTATTGATGCAAATGAGAATAAGATTACCAAGCGATAGTTTTTGGATTGGATAGAATTAC